GCCACTACAACATCAATTCACTCTTGTTTACTATCCCCTGCACACGGATCTCCCAGCCAATGACACAATTCGGTCTGATGCAGATACCTTTCTCAAGCTGTAGAGTCAGACAGAGACTAAATAAGTCAAGTAAGCAGCAACATTTAAAATAAATTCATAAGAAATCCTAGAGGATAGTAATGATGTCTGAATATTCAAAATTAGTGTGTGAGCTCAGCAAATTCTGGTTCTCTTTGGTAGTGTAAAACCCTGTTTCACAATCATGAGTAGCCAGTAGATGCGCTAAATAGAGATCCAGAGTTGCAACTCCCATTTACAGTACAATCTATATTAGTTGCATCAAACTAATTGAGTATATTAATTGGTTATTTCACCTCGACAGGGAAAAATGTAATAGGTGAATTAACACCAGACAGCTTGACTACCACCTCCCCAGTCCCCGCTGTCAGGGCCGTCTTTAATATTGATTGGACCCTGGGCAAACATTTTCTTGGGGCCCCCCTCGGGCCCCCTGTTCACTGATTAGTTGCTAGAGGTTACTGCACATAATTACCGCTCACTAAGCAGTGGAGCAATTCCAGATAATGAGTAAACAAAGCAAAGCAGCATACTAATCAAGCTATTATTCCACATGTATTGCATATTTTAACCAGAAAGCAGGCAAGTAATGGAGGAGCAGATAAAGAGTGCAGCAATGCTTAATGCAGTTTAGTTTGCTGAATGATTACTCCAGAATAAAGTAACATGCTGCTGCTCTTGTTGTGTATAAGTCCGCTCACCACCTCCAAGTATTCGGGCCCAGCACTCACAGCACACGGCTCTTCACTACAGGGTACAACAGTCATGATGAAACTGTTACAGATCGAGTTGTCTGGTCTTACCACCTATTGAGCGCTCCATGATTTCCCCAGGTGCCTGCTAGCACACCACTGCACACTGCTGCTGTCACTGGATACCAGGGTTGTCAATTCCCCCACTACTTTTTTATACTGACAAAACCTGGAAAATTTACTGATAATCGATATTTAAAACAGTATAAAACAGTGTAAAACATGGACAATACGCAGAACAAGCAATTTGCCTGATTTACACTTAAAAAGTGAACACAGTGTGGCAAAAATAACAGAACCCCAGGGATACAGTTGAAAAGTAAGTTCTGCTAAGCATGCCTCAGAGAGTAGTGAACTTGACCAGATTGATTACAAGAGTGGCTTAAAAGAGGACAATTAAACAGAACCACCCCTTGACCACCTACCTCTAAATGTACATAGCAGCCGCTTCATTGACTACATATTGCAGTGACGTCGAAGCTTACCTCATGGTGTGGCAATTTTACTCAACATGTCAAGATCCACAGGCAGCATCGCCTATCAAACTTTCCCACTGAACTCAGTCACTGCAGCCACAAGCCAAATACAGTTTATCCTCCTGAATGCCTGCAAAGTGCCTCTGCAAAGCAATCCACCATGGAGCACTTTACAGAGGGGCAGAAGGGACTGCAGCACATATGAAAGCGGCCTTTATGGTGAAACAGACACTTAAACGACAAAAGGTCTTGATCTGACTCTCATATACCCCATTTATTTTGTGGACATACAGTATAGTTTGTTTTGAGATTGCATCCCAGTATAGTCAACTGATGAGATTTTGGGGGCTTCAACTAAATTGCAGGCCCTGACACACCAAAGGGTTGTGCATATTATTTAGTGCTAGACATACTACAGGAGATGATCAGAGACTGCAGACGTACTACAGGAGATGATCAGATGACCAGAGACTGCAGACGTACTACAGGAGATGATCAGAGACTGCAGATGTACTACAGGAGAATGCAGAGATGTACTACAGGAGATGATCAAAGACTGCAGATGTACTACAGAAGATGATCAGAGACTGCAGACGTACTACAGGAGATGATCAGAGACTGCAGACGTACTACAGGAGATGATCAGAGACTGCAGACGTACTACAGAAGATGATCAGAGACTGCAGACGTACTACAGGAGATGATCAGAGACTGCAGACGTACTACAGGAGATGACCAGAGACTGCAGACGTACTACAGGAGATGACCAGAGACTGCAGACGTACTACAGGAGATGACCAGAGACTGCAGACGTACTACAGGAGATGACCAGAGACTGCAGACGTACTACAGGAGATGACCAGAGACTGCAGACGTACTACAGGAGATGATCAGAGACTGCAGACGTACTACAGGAGATAATCAGAGACTGCAGACGTACTACAGGAGATGACCAGAGAGACTGCAGACGTACTACAGGAGATGACCAGAGACTGCAGACGTACTACAGGAGATGATCAGAGACTGCAGATGTACTACAGGAGAATGCAGATGTACTACAGGAGATGATCAAAGACTGCAGATGTACTACAGAAGATGATCAGAGACTGCAGACGTACTACAGGAGATGATCAGAGACTGCAGACGTACTACAGGAGATGACCAGAGACTGCAGACGTACTACAGGAGATGACCAGAGACTGCAGACGTACTACAGGAGATGACCAGAGACTGCAGACGTACTACAGGAGATGATCAGAGACTGCAGATGTACTACAGAAGATGATCAGAGATTGCAGACGTACTACAGGAGATGATCAGAGACTGCAGACGTACTACAGATGAGATGACCAGAGACTGCAGACGTACTACAGGAGATGATCAGAGACTGCAGACGTACTACAGGAGATGATCAGAGATCAGAGACTGCAGACGTACTACAGGAGATGACCAGAGACTGTAGACGTACTACAGGAGATGACCAGAGACTGCAGACGTACTACAGGAGATGATCAGAGACTGCAGATGTACTACAGGAGAATGCAGATGTACTACAGGAGATGATCAGAGACTGTAGACGTACTACAGGAGATGACCAGAGACTGCAGACGTACTACAGGAGATGATCAGAGACTGCAGATGTACTACAGAAGATGATCAGAGATTGCAGACGTACTACAGGAGATGATCAGAGACTGCAGACGTACTACAGGAGATGACCAGAGACTGCAGACGTACTACAGGAGATGATCAGAGACTGCAGACGTACTACAGGAGATGATCAGAGACTGCAGACGTACTACAGGAGATGATCAGAGACTGCAGACGTACTACAGGAGATGACCAGAGACTGTAGACGTACTACAGGAGATGACCAGAGACTGCAGACGTACTACAGGAGATGACCAGAGACTGCAGACGTACTACAGGAGATGATCAGAGACTGCAGAGACTATAGATGACCAGAATGCAGATGTACTACAGGAGATGATCAAAGACTGCAGACGTACTACAGGAGATGATCAGAGACTGCAGATGTACTACAGGAGATGATCAGAGAGAGACTGCAGATGTACTACAGGAGATGATCAGAGACTGCAGACGTACTACAGGAGATGATCAGAGACTGCAGACGTACTACAGATGACCAGAGACTGCAGATGTACTACAGGAGATGATCAGAGACTGCAGATGTACTACAGGAGATGACCAGAGACTGCAGACGTATTACAATGATCGAATATATACTAGATCAGCAATCTTAAGGAACTTTCATCTCCATATAGTAAAACTGTCCCTTTTTATGTAAACTATTTGGGCATATACAATTGGCTCTGCAAAAACTCTCAGGAGCAACTAAATAGCCATTTTTCAAATTCTACCTTTCATCAATGCACAGCTTTACAGTTAGTAAAAACAGATCAGGATTTGGGATAACAGTCCACAAGCAGTCTATAGGGAGAAGGACCTACCAACACAGCTGGGCTCACCACCCATTCTCAGAGGAGGTCCGGGGGCAGGGCTCTCAGCATTTCCACTCTAATCTCAGCTCTGAGACTCCAAGCATTCAGGCTGCATGGGGTTGGGTCAGAATGTCAGCGGAGCTCGCGGCCTCACCCCCTCTCTGCTGCCTGGGGAATACAGTGCCACTGCTGCCTCCCGTGTACCCTTTGCTCTCTGTAGTATTGTCATGGGACCCCAATTTGCAGGCTCAAGGGGCAGCTGCTTTTGGGCTCCACAACAATGACTGGGCCCAGGGCAGCTGCCCCTTTTGCTCTGCGTTAAAGATGGCCCTGCCCGCTGTACTCTGTACTTACCTCCAGGGATGCTTACTGTAAAGGTAAACTAATACCTTAAAGCGGAAATCCGTAAAAAATTTTTTGGCCTGTCTCGGCACTGCATGGGTCAAATGCTTGTTTGTTCTAGGCAAGAGGACACCGAAGATATACTCACCTGACCCACCAATCCTCCCCGCACAAGGCAGGTTCTTTTGGCTCCTGTTAACCCCTCCGCGGTCCAGTGGTCTTGTAAATTGACTGTTCCTAATGTGAGCTCCACAGACAGGAATAATCCACCGCGGACTGCGGGGGAGTGCAGTTTTCCGAAGAACTGGTGGGTCAGGTGAGTATGAGCTTAGTCTTCACCAAAAAAAAAAAAAAAAAAAAATGAGCAGCCGATCCATGCATTGAAATTCCCATATTTGCTCCCTTTTAGTCTTTACATACACCATTGAATCAATTTTGGTAAATTTGTTTGATAAGTGTAAAAAGAAAAGTACCTGTTACTCCTTTCAGCAATCCAGTGCTGTCCTGTGTCTTCTGCACTCTGAAGTATCCTCCCAAACAGAATTATCAAACCTGCACAAGCTACCTGTGAACTACAGAACACCTAACCTTTATCTAATGAAGAAAAGGTGAGGAAGAGGTGTTTTGTAGTCCTGACACACTTCCTGTCATAGGTTGTCAACTCTACTCCTTCATAGATACAGGACAGTGAGTGTTGTCACTCTAGGACAGGATCACCAAGGTGAAAAATAAAGGGGAAAAGCCCCCCAAAATTATGCAGCCACCAGATCAAAGGACTGGTAAACTGCAATATACTACACTTTTTTTTATTTTTCAGTTAGATACATCAAAACCGGAAAGTTGTTTAAGTGGCTTATAAATGTTCGTGGCATATTGGAATACTAATCCTACCTGATGCTGTTCTCACACCAGAGCTGGGTGCAGAACTGTATGAGGATCCAGAGAAAGAGGGTCCACTCCATGTGTTGTGATAAGATGGATGAGCTGCATAGTGAGGCTGTGACCTGAAAAGAAGAAAAAATACTACTAGAAATTGCCAATATGCCAAAGAAAACAGCTGAATTGATATCACCATGCACCTTTATTGATTTAAAAGTTACACTAAACTATCCAAAAACCCCACATGTACAATCTCTTAATTACCTACTTGCAGGCCAAGTAAATACCAAGTATGCTCTATACAACTTCAGGTTTGTCTTACAATGCTCACCCTTCTTGGCATGGTGTAGCCATACTGCAGATCTGTTTGGGATTTGCTGACACTTTCCTGATTCAATGATTAGTGTAGTACTCAGGTTAATTTACTAAAGGAGATGAGCATCTTTACTCAGTAAAGTGCAGCTGTGTTCACTTTGAATATCCAATAATGCGCAAAAGAAATAAAAAGAAAAATTTGCTTTTCACGTGACTGCAAGATTGAAGTGAAGCTTTATTCTATATAACAAGTACCACCTTTAAGTCCTTTTCACACTGGGTGGACTATGTTCTGATCATCAGGGGGAGCAGCACACAGATCCCCTGCTGATCAGAGCAGAGCAGGCAGATGACAGGTTCATGTCTGCTCAGTTTATGCAGCGTAGACACATACAGAGCATGCTTTGCTCTACAGGTAGTCGGGTGTAAATGGACTCCACTGTCTGTTTACACCTGACTGCCCTCTGATCCGATCTGCCTAAAACAGAAGAGGATGGATCCCCTTCAGTTCTTAAGAGGACTGGATCATATGTGGAGGTTGGTGGGTGTAAATGGACACAAGTGTATTTACACCTGCCTGTACGTTGGGGTGAATGCACCGTCTGGATAAGGTCCGCATGAAAAACTGACAGGTGGACCAGATCGAAAAACCGTCTCTTGAAAAGAGCCTTAGTAAATCAATCAGTATTATGATCAGATTATTATTATTATTATCATCATCAGAGTATTATGTTACACTAAGCATGTACAAAAAAAATTTAAAAAGTCCTTATTTGATTTCTAAATCCTTTTATTATCATGATAAAGGAAACAAGTTTTGGGCTAAAATGTGCTTGTTGTACCTACAGTGTGTAGTTGTTATTAAGCAAACACAGGTAAGGCCTACTATGTAGATCCAGAATAAAAACGGTTGTAATTTATAATAGAAAAAAAACAAACAAAACACACACGTTATACTTACCTGCTCTGTGCAATGGTTTTGCTCGGAGCAGCCCCGATACGCTTATTTTTCGGTCCCCTACTGGCGATCCTGGCTCCTCCCCCCTGCCGAGTGCTCCTAATAGCAATCCCCTTGCTATGGGAGCACTCAAGCAGGCTCGCTCCCAAGCTACGCTCCTGTGAATGGACATTGTCCATTCACACACAGAGCGTGTCTCGTTCCCACCTCCCCACTCTGTCCTCATTGGCTCACTGGCTGTGATTGACAGCAGGAGGAGCCAATGGCTCCCACTGCGGTGTGAGCCAACGAGGAGATAGAGAGACTTGGGAGAGCCACAGCTCGCATGTACATCACTGGATCAAAATGGGGCTGAGGTCAGTATAAGGGGGGTTGAGGGGGGAGCTGCACCCAGAACGTTTTTTTTACCCGAATGCATAAAATGCAATTCATGGGGGTCAACAGGAAGAATCCCCCCTACATTGGCGATCAGTAGGAAGAATGCAACCTGTACAGTGGTGGCCAAAATGCCACCCCTTGCATGGTGTCATGCTGCTGGCCTTGCCTTGGGGTAGTGGTTCTTGAATTAACAGGCATCATTAGATAGGTCAATCAGTCACAGCCCCAGCAACCTCTAAGGAACTCTGGTTGAGAATGACTTCTCTAGTTAATTATACTGTATATGACAACTATCTTCTAATAAACCACTTACCTCCGACTGCCAAACAGATATCCCAGTATACCACCAGTTCCCATACCAGTCCAAAAACCAGGTCCTTGATTTGCCTGTCTCCCATAGGAAGCAGTATTGCCAAAATCATAAAATCCTGTACTCCCTCCTGGAAAGAGAAAAAAAAAAAAAGAAAGATTTATTAGAAATTACATTCAACTACATAAATATTCTCAAAACAAGCTTTCTTTTATTGAAAAAAACAAAAAATATTTAAGGTAAAGCTATTGTGGCAACCATCAACTTTTAAAAGGACACTAGTCAATGGACAATTACAATATTCTAAAGCTCAGTTCAGTATAGCAATACCAACTTAACACTCCAGAGATTGCTTGATTTTTTTTTTTTAATCATTTGTAGTCTTTCAAGGTTAAACTGTAGCATCTTCCCATTTCCTGCTTGATCTGTTTTGTCAGTGTGTCTCTGTGCGGTGCGATTTGAATAGACTGAAATCACACAAAAAGTAGTGCATGCACTTATCAAAAACAAGCTGAACCAAATTGCAAGCAAACGCACTGCATTTGCAATCTGCGTTTGGGGTATCGTTAGGAATACACTAACACCTGCAGCAGATCACACAACCTGTGCGTTTTGAATGTGGTATGGGAAACCTGCACGGAACACGGTTTTCCTCTGACTTGACAAATGAACAAAGCACCTCCTTCTACAGTGTGTACTTGGCTCAATTCAAAGTACTGAGTGTGATTTCTGTCCACATTCACGTTCCTCTGCTATCTGCACGAGTCATTTCTGACAGGCTGTGCCAGCTCCAAATGAAAGAGGGGGATGTGGGCTCTAGCACACAGTCTGTGATTGACAGCCTCAGCTGTGCATGTTTACCTATGATATTGTGTACAGGGCGTTTGTCCTTTTCCTCCACTTGGGTCTCAGACTGCACTCAACTCCCAGCTCTATGCTGTGCAGTGCATGACATCAGATCCCCACCTCTAGCCTCTGCAAGTTCAGAAAGGCTGTGGAAATTTTGGACATGAAAAGGATGTAGAAAAGAGATGGCTGCAGATAAACAGGTCCAGTTTATGTAGAAGGATTTGTTTCATCTCACCTATTTCACTGGGGGTATATATAGATATATATATGTATATATATATCTATATATACACACACACACACACAATGTAAAACCTTTATCCCAAAAGGAAAAACACTCCCCTCCCTCCAGACTGACTGTCCAGAGCAACCCCCTGTGCTCGTTCATCCACAGTGAGGGCACTCTAATATAGGAGGTATTATACTGCCCAGATCACCAGGTGAAAACAGAGGGAAAAAAAGCCACAAAAAAAAAAAAAAAAAGAAAACCAATACAGCAGCGACATCTAAAGACTGGTAAGCTGCAATATATGACATTTTTGGAGGTTTAATACTGCTTTAAGAATATATACATAAGAGGATTTTGTTCTCCCTGACCCACAGTTCTTCCTTTTTTTATCGTTTTCCTTTTTAGGTTTTGTAAAGTCCTATGTATATTGTGTATTCTGATTTTTCAGTTATACAAAATAAAAACCACATAATGTGGAGTGATATCTTATGAAATATTCCTCTGTGCTTTACATTTTAATTGCATCACATAATAATGGTATGAAATAGAGTATACAATGCAAAAATGGTGTTGATCTGAATAATCAATGAAAGTGACATCATCACAGCCCAGCCACTTAAGTGGCTGAAGAGACGAAACTCAGAAGGATAACCGGGCGAAGATGGAAGCGCCCGGAAAAAGCTAAAGCAGTGGCAGTGCAGTGCATGAGCGCTCCATTTGACAGGCAAGTCTGTCATAATGTGTTACTATGCAGTGCATACTAGCACATTAGGGTATAAACCTGCAAGGGCATCTTTTTAAAATTTACCACTTTAATTCTTGATAAAACCATACTGAACCAAACGAGTACTGTAAATCTACCTTAAGAGTAATGTATAAATGAAATATTTTGCACTTACCTGTATAGTCTGACTTAAAACCAGGCGGTGGAGGAGGTGCACTAGCATGGCTGTAGTGCTGGTTATCATGTCCATCATAATTAGGTGGATATTGCTGTTCCTGCATTGAAGGTCCACTCAAGAATAACTTGTATATTCCATAGGCCAGACCCAGTAGTACCAAAAATACAACTACTGCGCTCCCATCGTAGGGTGACTGTCCATTCCAGCTTTTTGAGTACCCTGAGCCAAAGCCACCAAAACTGTTGCCATGCTGAGATTTCTTTCGTCCTTCTTCTGTAAGTTCCAGTGTGTATTCCAAACCACATGAGCCGCGCGCAGGACATGTGGATCATCAGGATAATCAAAGCCCTCACAGCTCACTTCAACTTTTCCAAATCGATAAGAGTTGTCCATGTCCACCTTACACTCCCACTAGAAGTTTAAGAAGTCTCAGTTAGCAAATGCAAAGCTACGAATGTGCTCTTTGATCAAATTACATTTGTATAATGCATTAACATGTGTTATGTTGCATGGTAATGTGTGTTGCAATAGGGCAGATCCAGAAATGATAAGGCTGCCAACACACCCTGAAGTGTCAAAAATTGGACATGCACCATATTTGGCAATGCAATATCATGTTGTGGTGCACTACAACACATATCTGTGGGTTTGCTATTCAAAATGAGTGACATCAATACACCTGTAATGTGTGTTGGTTTGCACTGCAGTATTACCGCAATGTGGAAGTATATGTGGTCCCTAAAAGTTATCTTCAGATTACTGAAAGAATCTGGACATGAACCAGATATACACAGATACACATGCTGGTAGGTTAATTGGATCCTGTCCAAACTGGCCCTACTATGTGTGTATGTATGAATGTAAGTTAGGGACTTTAGATTGCATGGCCCTTGAGGTTTGGGGCTGATGTGAATGTACAATATATATGTAAAGTGCTGTGTAAAATTGACGGTGCTATACAAGTACCTATAAAAATTAAATAAATACACAGAAAGTAGCAAGGAATTGGGATGAGCTTGGGCATCCTCTGAACTCATCTTTAGCCATATTCCGAAATCTTGCTCTTTTTTTTTTTACACCAATGAGCTGCAGGTTGGATCATTTCTTCTTCAAAGTCCACTCTTTTGCTTACATGAGCTGCAGGGTAGGAATGACCCGGGCTGCAAATTACTGGACTACAAAAAAAAAAAAAAAAGAGCACAGGTTCGGAGTTCAGCTAGGGAGGAGTTAGTCAGCTAGAGATGAGGACGCCTTCATGTTGAGATTGTGATTTACCCTTGCTTTCTGCTTGAGGATTCCTTGGGATTGGGACATGACAAAGTGGTTGGAAATCTCAGACATAAAATCTGAACAAAGCCTGTATATTTTATATTTTTATAGTGTTTACTTGCCTCTCTCCAAAGTCCTGAGTGTCAGTTCTCTCTGCTGTCTAGTTCCTCTGCTATCAGCATGAGTCACTTCTGCAAAGTTCTTCTGGCATCAAGAGCTAAAAAGGTGTCAGGGGAGGGAGCTTCAGTTGATTGACAGCCTCAGCTCTTTTCCTGTGTTTTGTGTGAAGACGGGAGTTTCTCTTCCCTCCAATCATCTCTCAGAGCTCTTCTACAGTGTGTAACTGCGGCTCACCTGCTTTGCGAGTCTTGGAAAAATCCTTTTCATTTCTGAATTTTACAAGGATATGCAGGACAAATGGCTGCACATAAGCAGGTACAAATTACGTAGGAGGATTTGTTTCATCTCTGTGTATCACCTGAGGCCAGTCACTTCTCTGGTCATAGGCAAGGGCTTACAGCCACTTAAAGGGAAAATCTTTCCTGGACAGCAGTAAAAATCTAACAAGGGCTCTAATTCTTTCTCCCGCTATTCAAAACTACAAGAAAAAAAAAATGTTTGGCTTTACATACACTTTAATGCAGCAGATGTCACCATTATTACTATACAGTATTAAGTGCAATGAATAGCACAGCTGCTGTCCTGTTCCCCCTTACCTGCTCTGTATAACGGTTTTGCACAGAGCAGACCTGAACCTCCTCTTCTTGGTTCCCCCGCTGGTGCTCCTGGCTCTCTCTCCTCTTTTTGATGGTACCCCATAGGAAGCCACGGTACCCCACAGACAGCGTGGCTCAACCTCACTCTCTGCTCCCTCGTCACAGGATTGAACGGCAGTAGCAGGAGCCAATGGCTCCCACTGCTTTAGCAGAGCCTGTGGGAGCATGTAGAGTCGTTACAGACAGGCATAGCACTGAATCAAGTGAGGACCCAGGTAAGTATAAAGGGGAGAGGGATATACGGTTACCTAAACATTTTTTTACCTTAATGCAGGGAATGCAAGTAAAAAATGTTTAGGTTTTAGAACCACTTTAACGCACTATGGGCTGTCCCTGTAAGTCCATTAGAAAGATATTTTGTGCAACAGATTTCCATTCTGGGACTAGACTTATTTGCTGGAATAAGAAAAGCATTAGAAAAAACACATTAGGCACTGAAAGATCTCTTGGTGGTACTGAGGGATGTTGCAGCCATAGTATTAGCTGTTATATGGTACAGTGGGACATCATATAGGAGCAAGTGTCATAGTTCCACTATACTATAAAGCAGTACAGTGCACCAAAGTAACGAAGCACAAAGTATGGCTGATCTTTAGGTTAAATAGAACACACCTTACCTGAACGTCCAAGCCATCCCATCCTCTGTTGTGGCACTGCACTACCTGTGGGGTCATAGCACTACAGCCAGCACTGCCCCCAACACACTTCAATTGTGGAATAGGGGGATGAACGTCGTGCATTAGTGTATCTCTCTGCATGCAGTGTGATAGCCTGAATATCCTTTAGCAAAACTCTATCTGCAAGAAAAAAAATAAAACAAAACGTTTTTTAAGATTTTGTTGCTTTACAAAATACATCAAATACATGCCGATGGTGAAATAAGCTGATCTAGACCTGTAGCTGCTACCTAGCAACAATATTAAACAATCCATTCAATCTAGAACCAGTTCGGCTCCAGAATACTTTTTTTTATTTTTCACATACATGTAAAAATCCAATTTTTTGGCAATAAAAATTACCAAAACCCCCAAAACATTATATATTTTCTGAAAGTAGAGGCCCTGTAAAATAAAAAGGTGATAGTTGCAAATTTTTATGTCACATGATATCTGCACAACTGTTTATTAAACACAAAGTTTCAGGAAAAAATATAGAATACCCAGTTTTCATTAAAATATAAAAGATGAAGTTGAATTGAGTAAATAAATACCAAACATTCAATGTCTTAAAATTGCACGGGCCTGTGATATCACCCGAAAACTACGGTGCCCAAAAATCACTATAGGTGAGGCTTTCAAAGCATTTACAGGGCATCAGTGTAGAGTTAACTAGGAGCTCTTGTGCTAGAATCAATGTTCTGACACTGACATTCGCAGCAATATGTCACATGTGTGGTGACTGCAGTTTACATATGCGTGCACACTCTGGACTTGCATTTGCGCTGGTGTGTGGGCCAACAGGGGTTATAGCAATGTTTTTGTTTTAATATATTCTGTTATAATTTTAATTTTAAAACTCTTTTCTTGTAGTTTTTATTTATTTTTACTTGATTGCTATCACAAGGGGTAGTAAACCTCTATATGATAGCATTGGGCAGGTGAAAGGTACTCTTTATGGAGACATTAGGGCAGTCTAATAGACCCCAATGTCTCCCCTGCCCTTCACACCATCTAATTGACCAGTAACAGGCTAAACAAAAACCACACAAGCTGATGGCTGCAGCCATCAGCCTGTGATTAAAGACTCGTTCACACCATACGTGCACAAAACTGATGGAAACAGACGAGCAGATTTCGCTTTGCAGATACGTCAGCTTACATCAGTTTTCATGCACGCTTCAATTGCATTTTATACATGCTGCAGATTCCTGCACAGAAAAAAAATATCTGCACACAATACTAGTGTTGTGGTGTAAACAGGGCACATGGAGAACAATTGATTTTGTTGTGTGCTTGCAGAACGCGTGCAGAAAACAGACGTCTCTGCACCATGGTGCGAATGACCCCTAAAGGTTCACTATCTGGACGTACGTAGTATGTCCAAAGAGCTGAACTGGGTACTAAATCTGGCAGGATCTTAAACTATATAGTTGATGGCAGATCAAAGGGCTTGTTTACAGTATTTGCTGCTGAGATAAGCGGAGCTTCCACTTTTGGGTGGAACACCACTTTAACAGTTTCCTGCAGTTTCTGGCTGAGTTGGGTTCTGCCTCAACCTTAGCTCAGCACTAGAAATTCTAGATGAACCCTCTGCATACTGCTATACACCCTTTCTAGCAAACTGCAATAAAAAAAACATGGATTTTTAGTTCACACATATTGCAATACATGTTTAAGCTGGCCAACTACATCAAAGTAATCCCTTATGGCCAGTCCTACTCTACACTCCAAATGATACTGTGGACACAATGCCAACATGAAGCAAACAGACACAAAGAGGGGGAGAGCTACTAGGTTTAGGTCTGGCCACTGACCTGTAATGCAATAGAAACAAGATATACCTGTGCTCAAATCCCAATACATTGTACATGTATACAGTTTATCAGGTGCACATTTGCTGAGTGCAGGACACTGGAGCATTGATTTTGACTACAGAAAACTGCTTTTGCAGCTTTCTTTGGATTTTGGTGTTTCCAGGTTGGGCTCCATACTTTAGAGATTTCAAAGTGCCTTGGAAGGGAGTAAATCTCCAACCCAGTGTATGGGTTTTGTGGACAATCAGCAGGGTGTGTGCCCAGGTGCATACAACCCTTAAGCTGTAACTTATGCAGGCCATAGATGGGTCGAAAATCGGCCGATTTTTCGGCCGAAAATAAAATCGGCCGATTTTCGGATCGTTAGTGGGCTATTTGTTCGGCCGTTTTTCGGTATTTTGGCCGTTTTTTTTTTTTTCCGGTAAAGTTGGTAAAAAAAAAAAATCGGCCGATTTTACCGATCGGCCAATTTTTGCGGCAATAATGGGCAAATCGGCCGATTTTTTACCGATAAAAAAATCTGCGCATGAGCAGTGACCTGCAAGAGGAAGACAAAAAGAAGAAAAAGAAGAAGAGGGATGAAGATGATGAAAAGGAAGAAGAAGATGATGATGATGATGAAGAGGAAGAAGTAGTAGAAGAAGAAGTAGAAGAAGAGGATGATGATGATGAAGAGGAAGAAGAAGTAGAAGAAGAAGAAGAAGAGGATGATGATGAAGAGGAAGAAGAAGTAGAAGAAGAAGAGGATGATGATGAAGAAGAGGAAGAAGAAGTAGAAGAAGAAGAAGAAGAGGATGATGATGATGAAGAGGAAGAAGAAGAAGAAGAAGAAGACGAAGAGGATGATGATGATGAAGAGGAAGAAGAAGTAGAAGAAGAAGAAGATGATGAAGAGGAAGAAGTAGAAGAAGAAGAGGATGATGATGATGAAGAGGAAGAAGACGTAGAAGAAGAAGAAGAGGATGATGATGAAGAGGAAGAAGAAGTAGAAGAAGAAGTAGAAGAAGAGGATGATGATGATGAAGAGAGAAGAAGAAGAGGATGATGATGATGAAGAGGAAGAAGAAGAGGATGATGAAGAAGAAGAAGAAGAAGAGGATGATGAAGAAGAAGAAGAAGAAGAAGAGGATGATGATGATGAAGAGGAAGAAGTAGAAGTAGAAGAAGAAGAAGAGGATGAAGAGGAAGAAGAGGAGGAAGTAGAAGAAGAAGAAGAAGATGATGAAGAGGAAGAAGAAGAAGAGGATGATGATGATGATGATGATGAAGAGAAAGAAGAAGAAGAAGAGGATGATGAAGAGGAAGAAGAAGTAGAAGAAGAGGATGATGATGAAGAGGAAGAAGAAAAAGAGGATGATGATGATGAAGAGGAAGAAGAAGTAGTAGAAGAAGAAGAGGATGAAGAGGAAGAAGAAGAAGAGGATGATGATGAGGAGGAAGAAGAAGTAGAAGAAGAAGAGGATGATGATGATGAAGAAGAGGAAGAAGAAGTAGAAGAAGAAGAAGAAGAGGATGATGATGATGATGATGAAGTAGAAGAAGAAGAAGAGGATGATGATGAAGAAGTAGAAGAAGAAGAGGATAATGATGACGAAGAAGAAGAAGAGGATGATGATGATGATGAAAAAAAGAAGAAGAGGATGATGATGATGAAGAAGAAGAGGATGATGATGAAGCAGGAGAAGAAGAAGAAGAAGGATGAAAAATTAGAGGAATTCCAGTCCTGCAAAAAGTGTCCCTGCAGAGAGCTCTGCTATTTCTGACAGTTCCTTGACAGTTAGAGAGGTTGCAACATTGTATCTATTTGTTTCCAAATAAAAACATCTGTATCCTAAATGGATACAAATAGATACATTGTTGCAACCTCTGTAAATGTCAAAGAACTGTCAAAGAAATAGCGGAGCTCTCTGCAGGGACAAATTTGCCGGCTGTAGACAGGATGAAAATCGGCCGATTTTTTTTACCATTGATGGTAACGTCGGCCGCTTGAACGACCGATTTTTCGTTTTTTTAAAAGAAAAATCTGCCGTTTTTTCTCCCCGTCTATGGCCTGCATTACATTAAAAAAAAAGAAGATTTTTACTTAACTGTTCTTTTTTTTAATCATCACATAGGGGACAAAAAGTTCCCTATGTGATGATTTTTGATGTCAGGTTCTTTTTTTAGACATCCAAGGTCTAAAACAGAGGTCTCCAAACTTTTCAAACAAAGGGCCAGTATACTGTCCTTCAGAATTTAGGAGGGCCGGATTAGGGCCAGTGAGGATAGAAAATATCCTGGCCCCAGCATCAGTGAGAATAAACATGGCCTCAGGGTTGTTGGTCAGTAGGAGGAGTAGTGCCCCACTATTGGTACTAGTGGGAAGAATAGTACCCCATTATTGATTTCATGGGAAGAAGTACTGCCCCATTGTTGGTCTCAGTGGGAGGAATAGTGCCCCAAGGGCCAGATAAAGGGTAGCAAAGGGCTACATCCGGCCCTCGGGCTGCAGTTTTGAGACCCCTGGTCTAAAAGACCCTGCATGTCTCCCCTGTGCTCCACTGAATATAATGCAGTGCACATCACACTGCATTACATTCTTTCCCGGCCTCGATGGCAGAGAATCTGTCAACGGGGACCGGGAAGTGATGTCCACTATCCTCTCTACCACCATCTCGACATTCTGCTAGCAGCCACTGAACCAGACCCAGGCCCGCGGCTGGGCAAGTGGAGCCCGAGACATACAGCAGGCAGGGGGGCGGCGGCTGGCACTGTGGGCTGTGTGGAAGCAATAGGGCGGCAGCGCTGCTGCCCAAATGCTTCCACCTGACAGATGAGCCCTGCTCCTTGCCCGCAGCAGGGCTAAAGTCAAAAAAAAAAAAATATTACCTGCCTGGAGCCTGGAACTGCATGCCCCAGGCGTCGTGCGATATGAATTGCACATACTTTCAACAAAAAATGTGGTAAAAAAAATATGTGCATTTATTATTTTTTGTGTTAGGAGTCTGGAGTTCTGATGCCATCCAGATCTGTCAGAGTATCTACTTCCTTGTATGGGAAAGCCGATACTTACTGATAGGAAGAATCAATAAACCACCACAGCGCTGTGGTAGTTCATTGAGAACTAAAAAGCCGACCCCTTATTTTTTTTTTAAATTGTGACAGCTAGCGGAAGGAGAAGATCGGGGTGCGGGGGTGGTCCGTTCATAACATGTAACACCCGGAATAGAACATGTCAAAAATGGTGAACTTATCCTTCAGAGTCCATTCACACTTGTGCGACTTAGGAGTCCAAAGTCGCATGACCAGCCGCACTCCATTTTTCCCAATGAGTACCATTCAAATCTGTGCAACTTCAAAGTAGTTCCTACACTACCTTGGTACAACTTTTTGATGCAAATGTAAAGTCGGATCAAATTCGCACCACAAATCGTGCAAATTTAGAGATGCGCTAATATGAATGGAGCCTTAAGGAGATTCCCCTTTTCTCTTTGATCTGTCTACCATTATCATTGAAAGTAAAATTACAAATTTTGGGTTGTCACCAGAACAGGAGTAGATATTAAATCCACCAATGAGATTCCCTCACTTTAAAGGGATTTTTTCTCACTTCCTGTTTGGCTATTGGACAGAAAGTGAAGGGAAATCTCCCCAACAAGGTACAGATGGCAAAAATAAACCTTACAGAGGTCATAACCCTTTCTTACTCTATCCACACCACAGCTGGTTTTACCGGCCATCTTCTCTCCCCGGCATCTTCAGTGTGGGTACCTGGCTGTGACAGCTTGCAGCTTCACAGCTGGGTGCCCACTGCGCATGCACAAGTAGTGCTGCGCTTTGTGAATGGCCCCGTAATCTTCTGGGACCTGTCACATGTCCCAGAAGACTACGGGAAAGGAGGGGGGGGGGGTTGAAACTTCTGCTTCTGATCGCCTTTGGAGATCACAACAGAAGTAGGAGTGGCTACCTGTCAAATTTGGGTACGCCTCCCCAAAGGTGCCAATCCTTAATGGGGAGCGGGGGACAAAGGCTTAAAACAGAACTTCCCCTTTTGGGTGGAGTTCCACTTTAAGAGCCCTGCTCTTTATCTAGCTATATCTTGTGTCAGGTAGGTGTAACAGGTTCTCTTTACAGGTAATAATACAGAATCTAAGCAATCAAAGTATATGAGGTACACAGATGAGTGTATTACATGAACAGACTAATGTAATGGCACAGCAATGATCCCTCCACAGATCCCATAGTAATGAGCCCCATTCATCTCACCTTGTTGGCTCCAGCCCTGGACCCCGGACATCTGCAGCACGGCCAGGAGACCTAGGAAGGATCCTACAAACATACGTGACATCTTCATCCTCCTCCTCATACACGCTGACAGTCCGTGTTATTATTGATGTCGTATTACACAAAGTTTCATCACTCGTTTTCTTGACTTCCGCTTCCTTGTACATGTAATACAGCGATTGGCAGAGCGGAGAGCGGAGGGCGGAGACTCGTGACATCGTCTTTCAGGACACGTTGCTAATAAAGTTAGGTGAGGACCGGAAGCTTCGGTTCAAGGGGCTGATCTGCAGGCTTTCTGGCGGAAGTTGTGTGTGTCTTGTCAACAGAGGCGCCGATAATAGCTTGTGGAAGTGAGCGGGTGTAGGGGAGACCTATGTGTGATAGCTGAGCGACTACACACGGTGCACTGCAAGACTCCGCGACACCCATCCACTCTGCTCAATGGCTGGAATCAAAGGTAACACTGCTTACACACAATCTCTCTCCCTCTCACTTTACTGCATTCACCTTATTAGATTAATGAACATTGATTTACTAAACCTGGAGCACTCAGAATCTGGTGCAGCTGTACATGGCAGCCAATCAACTTCCAACTTCAGCTTGTTCAGTTAAGCTTCGACAATAAAACCTGGAAGCTGATTGGTTTCTATGCAGAGCTGCATGCAGATTTTGTGCCATGGCGTTTTAGTAAACCTGTGCATTCCCCCATTCAGGACAATGCAACATGTTCTTGTTATTTCATTTATACACCGTTCAACAATACCTTTATGACCACTGACAAATCAAGTGAATAATAAGGATTATCCCATTACAATGGCATCTGAAAATTGGTGGGATGTATTAGACCAGGGATCTCCAAGTAATGGGGAAGACCCTACTGTCTTACAGATTTTAGGGAGACAGACTGTGGCCAGTGAGGGTAAATGATGCCCTGTGCTTTGTCATTGGGAGGAATAGTGCCCTGTTGTTGGTGTCAGTGGGGGGAGCAGCGCCCCGTCAGTGGGGGGAGCAGCGCCCCGTCAGTGGGGGGAGCAGCGCCCCGTCAGTGGGGGGAGCAGCGCCCCGTCGTAGGTGTCACTGGGGGGCCGAGCGCCCTGTCGTCAGTGGCAGGAAAAGGGCTTCAAGGGACAGATAAAGGCAAGCAAAGGTCAGCAGATCTCTGTATTGGACAACAAGAAAACATGTTGTCCCTAAAGTTGATGTGTTGAAAGCAGAAAAAAATGGTCATCTCAGGTTCTTGCGTATGGGGCTGCATAGCGGCAGACCGGTCAGGGTGCCCATGCTGACCACATCTGTCCACAGCCAAAAGCACCTACAGTGTGCACATGAACATTTGACTATGGAGCAAAGGAAGAAGGTGGCCTGGTCTGAAAGATCATGTTGGCAGAGGTAAAAGGGTTTGATAAACACAATGAGTTTGAGGTGTTGACTTGGCCTCCAAATTCTCCAGATCTCAATCCAATCGAGCATCTGTGGGATGTGCTGGAAAAACAAGTCATGAAGCCCCACCTTGCAACTTCCAGGACTGTTTTGGCTGTAAATAAAGAGGACCTACTCGGTATTAGTTGGACGGCTTATCGGTGCATGCCACTGCTGTACTAGTATACAGGCTGCCCTGGGCTAACTGTTGCTGTTATGGCAAGTTTCTTTGTGACAATTTACTGCTTTTGGCTTCATTAGATGCTTAGAACACAGTGTGAGAGCAAACGTGTGCTTTCCCCATTCAGGACAAAACAGAAATTTGTGAATCCTATCACGGGAGACCGTATGGTTTACAATATAGTTTAGGCCAGGAGGGGTTAGGTTAGGACGGCCCTACTAGTCGAAGCTTACAATCTAAAAGGAATGTCTCTGTGTGCGGATGCATTGATGGAGAAAAAAGATTGGTTTATTAGGTGGAGGTGGGATGAGTTTTCTTGAGGAGATGAGTTTTTAGGGGTCACGTAAAGCCAGACGGCTCTGTTTTTGTTGGGGAAGGTCAGTCTGTGCTGAGGGGTCTGCACTGGGGAAATGGGATCTGTGCTGGGGGGGGGGGGGGTAGGTCATTGCTGTGCGGGTCAGTCTTTGTTGAAGGTGCTTAAGGGGCTGGGTCGGTCTGTGGTGGTGGTCGTTTGGGGTGTGTGGTCTGTGCTAAGGGCAAAATGGGTCAGTCTGTACTGGGTGGGGGGGGTGTGCTGAGGGGTCTATGCTGGGGTGAGGGGTTGGTCTGCACTAAGGTGTCAGTCTGTGCTGGGGGAAGGCACATGGGGAGGTTGCTGAGGGGGGTCTGTGCTAGAGGGGGTTGGTGCTGGGAAGGGGGGGTTTGTTTGAGGGTGGTTGGTCTGTGCTGAGGGGGATCAGTTTGTGCCATAGATGGGGGAGTCTGTACTGAAGGGTCCTTGATGGGGGGGAGGGGGTCTGTCTATACTTTGGGGTTTGTGCTGTAGAGGGATTGAACTGTCCTGAGGGACTGTGTTGGGGGAAATCTGTTGGGAGGGGGGATTTAGGAATGTTGGATTAGATCTGTACTGTGGGGGGTGTGTTCTTGGAATAAGGGGAAGAGGGTGATTTGGACTGGTAAGAGGCAGTAACTTTAGTTGTACCCTGTAAAGTGACCTGTGCATTATACACTCCTGACCTCTGCACTATAATCAAAGCTGGAGTAGCTGTGCATGGCAACCGCTGCTATCTTTCACTCTCAACACTTAACCACTTGAGCTCCAGAGGATTTACCCCCCTTAATGACCAGGCCTCTTTTTGCTACTTGGCGCTGCACTAATTCAACTGATAATTGCGTGGTCATGCAATGCTGCACCCAAACGAAATTTATGTCCTTTTTTTTTTCACACAAAAAACACAAAAAAAAAACAATATTTTGGACTTTTTGCTATAAAACATGTCCAGTAAAAAAAAAATGTAAAAATCAAATTTAGTCATAATTTTCTGCCAAAATGCATTCTGCGACATGTCTTTGCTAAAAAAAAAAAAAAAAACCCAATACGTGTAAATTAATTGGTTTACGTGAAAGTTATAGTGTTTACAAATTGCGGGAAAGATACTGGGATTTTTTAGTTTTTTTTTTTTTTATACTAATAATGGCGGCGATCAGCGAATTATGGCGGCAATCAGGGACTTATGGCAGCGACCAGCGACTTATGGCGGGACTGCGGCGGACATTCTGACATTGGGGGGTACTGACTTGGGGTCACTGACATCCCCAAAAACACAGTGATCAGTGCAAAAAAAAACCACTGACGCTGTACTAATGGCAATGGGGAGGAAGGGGTTAACTTTATTTTGCATGGAAGGGTTATAGGAGTGAGGGGAGTGTTTTACTAGGGGGCGGGGGGCTGTACTGGGTGGGACAAGGCTGATCGAGAAAGAGAAACTGTTCTTTCTCGATCAGCTCATCCTCGAGGGAAGTGACAGACAGCACAGCTACTGCAGCTGTGCTGTCTGTCACTGTTTACCGCCGATCGCCGGGACATAGCCGCTAAGGACCGGCTGTGACCCGGCGACTCACATCTGCGGCAGTGATCGGCGGGACAGATGGGCGGCGGCGCGCCTCGCACACGCCCCCTATTTGTTTACAAAACATACGTTTTAAAACGTGATTTTGCCTGCGAGTGCCGCCCTGCCGCCGTATATGTACAGTGGCTGGGCGGCAAGTGGTTAACTGACTGAATTAGCAGAATAAGCAGAAGATAGAAACTGGTTGCCATGCACAGCTGCTCGACTTTTGATAAATTCCCTCACTTGTTTCATACTCCTGACTATTGTACTCTAAGAAATTCTTCTTTAACCCCTTCATGCCTACAGGTAAAACAAATTTAACGTCTAAGCAGCACAATTTTGCAGTAAAACCGTACATATCATGACAACTTTGTATATCCAGGTGGATTATACCTAGTTTTTTTCAGGATAAAATAAATGGTAATGGATATCTCCTGATTTTTTTTTTTAATTATTATTATCAAAGGAAAACTGGCCCAAAATAGAGAAAAAAAATATTTTTTTTAATTTAGCTGTGTGTGTTTCTTGTTACTACCATAACCTACCACCAAAGAACAACCCAAAATAAATTTTCCAGCTCTTGACGTTCGCAGCGATACCGTATATGTGTATGTTATTTTTTGTACAGTACAACCCAGAAACAATAGTCCACATTTTTTTTTTTTTTTTTTTTTTTTTTTCCTAAAACACATTGACACTGATACCAATTTAAAAAAAAAAATGAATCCTGACCTTGACCCAAACACTAACCCTGGCACTGAACTAGATCAAACCTTGTTCTAGGTATTTTTTCTTTTATTTTTTAATATTTTCTTTTTTTTTCTTCTTTTTTTTTTTTTTTAACAGGTCCCCCCCCCCCCCTTCTATGCAAGGAGAGCGATGCAATGTATCTCTCTCCTCCATTCATAGACAGAAAAAAAAAAAGGGGTAGACTGTACAGTGACTGATCACTGTGATAGCCAATCAAAGGCTTTCATAGCGATTATGTGACTTGGAATTGGCAGTCCCGGGTCCCAATCATTAGAACGGGACCTGGGGCTCTCAGTGACACCCCGGGCTTTGTGCTGGGAGCGTGTTGTGTGGTGCGCTCCCAGCACAGACAGATACGCAAATATGCTACCCCATGAAAAAAAGCCCAGTTCTGTGATGTCATACCTCCTCGCTTGTTGCACAGTCAGTAAAGGGTGTTTTGTGGCATGTGTGCACTAACTATAGGGCGAGTAGTTTTTTTTGTTTTGTTTTTTTTCACTTGTAGCACTTGGGTTTTATTTACCTATGCCCCTTTAAGCCCATCCTACTGTTAATGCTTAATTTCTTAATACTTTTTTGGGAGGGGTATTGTTTGTATCCATACATGGGCACACAAGTACGAATCTCAAATCCCCTCATCCACCTCTTAATTTTACTTAATATAACCAATAGATATCCACTAAGGCTTTGTCGACCTTTAAACCCCATGCTGGAGGAGTGAATTTTGGGAACAGCAGGCTCCCAGTCCTTTCTCTCTGGCCAGAATTTAACAGTAGTAGGAATGCTATGCATGCAGGCATTGTATAAGTCAGGGGTCTCCATACTTACTGAACAAAGTGC